TTATAAAATTGTTATAAGATTATTATAAGATTATTATAAAATTATAATAAGATTATTATATAATAATTATATAATAAGATCTGTGGGTTGATAGCGTAGTGGTTGTGCTCTCAGGTTAGCATCCTCAAGGTTGCTGGTTCAAATCTATGTGGTGGATAAAAAGAAATTTGTGCCTGGACCAAGGCTGCATCTCAGCTACAAATAATCTTGAAGGTTATACAAATAAGGCTATACAAAAAATATTGCCAAAAATGGTTTATAGATCAGTTCTAGTGAAATCCCCAGTAGTATATGGGTCTCCGGTTAAACCCAGTGATATAAATAAATAAGGATCATATCGTATCTAATTAAAATCTCCTGGTCAAGAATGGGTCTCCGGCAAAACCCGGTGTTACAAAATTAAATCCGGTAAAATCTCCCGATCACAGATAGGGTTTCCGATAAAAGAAATAGTTTAGCTATCAGTAGTGCTTGAAGAAGAAAAAAAGCTTGAGTGGCCACTTGCAAGACGCACCTGGAGTACTGAGAAGTAAGGATAACATGAGCCTCAAGTTGAGTTATCTGAATAAGGAAAGCTCAGGCAAGAAAGGAGTCTCCTTTGGGTTGGGGGATCCCTATTGAGATTTATCCCAAATGCGGAGGTGGCAACCATACTATACGATAAGCTAGAAGGTGGAATAAAGGAGGTCTTTTGAAGTGTAGAGTACAGAGTAAAGTAGTACAAATAGCTAGATTGGGCTAAAATATAAAATTATCAATGTAATAGATATAGTTGAATGTAACAATGTATAAAATATTAATAAAATAGGAGGCCATTCCGACTCCAGTAATAACGGCTCCAATAATGGCGACTCCGAAAGGCTCCAACAACGATCTAAGAACGACACGACTTCAACACCGCGATTCCAGTAACGAAGACTCAACACGACACCAACAACGATCCAAGGACTATTTGAGTAACAATGCTCCAATAACGACGACACTAGCAATGTGACTCATTATC